AAACGACACTGAAACGCGCAGCGCTCCTGAAAATTCGAGGCGACTCCCGGGAAAGAAAAAAATACCTGAAAAACTGAGATCACTCGATCGTCTGGGCAAGTTATACTTGCCCAAGGCCGCCGCCAGGGGACCTAAAAATCAAGGACGCGGAATGATCAAGAATCTCCAAAACCTGTAATTGATAAAAAAACATGACTAAATCATGTGGAGACCAGTTTACCTGTTTCGGTAGCCTAACTTGTGGCCAAGATGGGTTCATTATCCTCTCCCCGCTGCTTCCAAACCTTTCACTACCCGCACCACATTGTGACATACCAACATGCAGTGCTGGCACTGACTGCATGGTATTTGCATGTGACATGCAAGAATAGTCCAGCATGCCCCACGATGGACCTGTGGCGATGACCTGAGTCCAGAGGTGACCGGCGGCCGGGATCAAAGCTGCCCCACGACAGACCTGTGGCGGTGACCTGGGTCCAGGGGGACCGGCGGCCGGGATCAAAGCTGCCCCACGACAGACCTGTGGCGATGACCTGAGTCCAGAGGGGACCGGCGGCCGGGATCAAAGCTGCCCCACGACGAACCTGTGGCGATGACCTGAGTCCAGAGGGGACCGGCGGCCGGGATCAAAGCTGCCCCACGATGGCAGTCAAACGGGAGACAAATGGGAGTCAAATGGGAATTAAATGAGCAGATGGGAGTCGGAGGCCCGGTTCCAAAAGAAGCCATGGCGGCACGGTCGGCAACAGAAGCATAGGAGTTACACGCAAGAACGCCGAAGACCGAAATCTGAGAGGTACCGGTGCCCTGCGTCTCTCCAAAAGGACCAGGCTCTGCTGTGGGCAGCGGGAGTCCAAGACGAAGCGGTACTTGCGTGGAATGCCTGAATTTTGGAGGCGCAATCACGGTGAGATTATGGCTATCATCATCGTCTGGATCATCTCGATTATCATGGCATGGCTTGTGATCGTGGAACAGATAAGGGTTTGCTATCAAGCAGACCAAACGCAGACATGTCAGCATGTAAATTGGGAGTGTTGGTGACCTCAGCAGGTAAGCGTATATCAACAAAACGTAACCAGGAAGACGTTTCATGCGTCGCGGAACGACCGGGGCCATTTCTTTGGTGCTTTGAATTTAAGGGTGCGTCACCTGCAATTTTTTTTTTTTGGCCGACTGACGTCATGACAGATGTGAAAGGGATAGCGTACCATCATGTAGATCATACTAAAGCCCAGCTAATGGGGTCGGGTACAGATACCTTTGGCCTCTGCGTACCAATGCGTGGACCAACAAAGTCAACACCAGCCAACTAATGTCTGGTGAATTCAGTCGGCGAGATTGTCGAATTTACAATCATTCCCTGTCTCCGTGGCCAAGGTAATGTAAAACATCCATATCTTGAGTATGTACTAGGCACAATGAACAGGTGTGCACGATCATGTAGTCTTTATGTTCAGTTTCTCAAGGCTTACGCCACGAACTCCTGCACTTCAGGTATGATATGGAAAAGGTGACAATGATCTCTTTCTGCTCGAGTTATGGGTCGGATATGGTTCAGATGCGTTGTTGAATTCCCACTGGTGCATTCACCTACACCATGCAGATGTCCTCACGTCTTCATCTGCTCTGGATGATGAGATCTGACATCCATCCCCAACTCCCACAACCGTGGATCCATGGTTTGAGTCGGAGCGAGTCTGAATGTATCGACTCCTCACGCCTTTGGCGAGCACAAACGAGACGAGTTGTTCTTTGCTCTTTGATCACACTCTGCACGCTCTATGTTGCTTTGTACTCAAATGCGTCGAAAATCAAGCTTAAGTCCACTTTATCATCGCTGAGAGCTCCGTTTTGGCTGGTACTAGTAGTGTCTATGTATCGTTGCAATGAAAATCATTCACATTCCCCTGTATTGTCCTACCCTCCCGGGCTGCCATATAAGTGAACCCCTTGTTGAACCCCTTGGAATAATAAAAAACTTCCCCACCGACCGTTACCACGCGTCTTATGGTTCGCACCAAACCAGACCATGCGCGAGCTGATCCACCTCCATAAACACCACATTTGGCGAAGAAGTATTTTTCGAACTCGCCGGAGGGCTTACAATACCCCAGAACCCTGCACCTAATTAATGCGGCAAGTTATCCGCACATCGAGGTGAGCCAAGATCGCGACCGCCATATCACCGCCCGCGTTACCGCTGTTCGACCCCAAAGAACAACCCGTAGGTCCGCGATGGACCAAATGGTCATCCCGCTTTGATACCAACCTGATCGCAGCAAATATCGCTGGTTCTAACCTGAAAGAACGCTCTGCTACTGCATTATGCAGGAGAAGCCGCGCATGACATATTTAATGCGCTACCGGCGACGTCCGACGAAAACAGGACGGATTGTTATGACAGCACAAAATACGTTTTGACGTCATACTTCAGCCCGAAGAGAAACCTCCAGTTTGAAGTGTACACGTTCCAATCTGCGCACC